CTCCTAGTAGGACTAGGAAAGGAGGAATCCTACTCCTACTAGGAGGAGAGGATTCCTCCTCCCTTGGCGCGCCACTAGGGCCGGCCAGCCTCCCCCTTGCTCCTTTATATACGGGGGCAGGGGCACCCTAGGACACACAAGTTGATTGTTTCCAGCCGTGTGCAGTGCCCCCCTCCACCATAATCCACCTCGGTCCTATCGTAGAGGTGCTTAGGCGAAGCCCTGTTTCGGTAGCATCATCATCGTCATCGCGCCGTCGTGCTGACGAATCTCTCCCCCGACACTCTACTGGATCGTGAGTTCGTGGGACATCACCGAGCCGAACGTGCGCATATCATGGAGGAGTCGTACTTTCGGTACTAGGATCGGTCGATCGTGAAGACGTACGAGTACATCAACCGCGTTGTCATAATGCTTCCGCTTACGGTCTACGAGGGTACGTAGACAACACTCTCCCCTCTCGTTGCTATGCATCACCATGATCTTGCGTGTGCGTAGGATTTTATTTTTGAAATTACTGCGTTCCCCAACAGTTCGGGCGCGGAAGAGCACGGGCACCAGCAGCGCCCAGGCTGCCCTCGACATGTTCGACGGAATTACCGAACAAGAGTCGGTACGTTTTCTTTGCTCCTGTCCGATCAGATTTTTGCATAGACCACTAGTTCATTTCGCACATGACGAATGCTTGCAAATCATAATTATGTAGGATGTGATCTTGTCGAACATGATCAATGACAACGAAGATCCGACCGAAATGGAGTATGAATTGGAGGCCACCACCGCATTTGAAGTTGGGACCACATCTGATCTCAATCCGAGCAAGAAAAGAAGAAGACCAAGACGGCAAAGGCAAGATGTCCGACATTCTCAAGATTTGAGGACATCTTGTTGGTCAAAGGTTTGTTGGGCACAATGATGGATCTAATATGCGGCATCGAGCAAAATGGGAACAAGTATTGAGAGAAAAATTGGAAGGAGTATCACGAACAAAAGGAGTATGTGGAGCCGCATCCTATCGTGATCACCTGCAATGTGGCATCTTTCCAACATCGTTGGGGGATCATTCAAAGGAAAGTGAACAAGTACGTCGGCTACTACTCACAAGTGATCAAACGCCCTCAAAGTGGGATGAAAGTGGCAACTCACGTAAGCTCAATTACTTCATCTTGTCGTCATCTGCATATGCTTCTTATGTATGCATTCTCGTGCTCATACATACGTTGTTTGCTAGACGGCGGTGGCGACCGCTTTGTATCACGAGGTGGAGAAGATGTCGTTTGCTTTTAGACATTGTTGGATCATATTGAATGGCAAGCAGAGGACGATCTCAAGTCCGGCAAGAAGAGGAATGAGGCTCAAGCTCCAACCAATCAATTGGGTTGGACGATGAAGAGGACGATGTTGTCTTCACGAATGGAAAAGGCACCATGCCAAAGGATAACCACCAAGTCATGGGAAAATAAGTGGGAGAAGGCACGTGCCTCCCGTGATGCGGCTATAAAAATGTTGTCCACATGGACGGGCATTTTTTCAGCGAGAGAGAACAAGAAGGAGAAAAGGTACAAGCTCATGTTGGATGCGCAAAAGAAGAGGATGGAGTGGGACCGGAAAAGGGGCGGGGAAGAAGCTCGAAATTGAGAGGGAGAAGATCGAGTTAGAGAAGCAAGAGGCGGCGATCAAATGGGAACTCGAGAAGGCAAGATATTTGGCGACATAGAGCTTGAGAAGGAGAGGTTGCAACTTGCACAGGACGCGAAGGATGTGAGGATCATGTTGGTGGATGAAACCCTTTTGGATGAGCATGCGAAGAAGTGGCTTGCGGACAAGAAGAAGGAGATCAACGACCGTAGGGTACAAGGCGGCGAGGGCCGGTGCGGCACGGATGCAAGAGGAGGAGGCACCCCGAATGCAGGCAGAACAGGACCAGAATGACGCATTCCGCCTGAAGCATAACGCATTTCGCTCAAAGCATGCACCCGACCGATGATCCGAAGCCATCCGTCACGCTCGGACATTGATTTCAATTTGCATGTCTGGTTTGTTGAACTACAATTTGCTTTGCTTTGTTTTGAACTATTGAATTCGCATAATTTGTATCATATGATCGATGTGCATGCATTATATAAATTTGAGGATCAAAATTTGAGTATGTGAATGTGCGGTGTAACATATGAAAGGTCGGTGGCATGCCCGTGAGCGTATAGGGAACGGATTTGCAAAGTCAAGCTGTAGATGGTCTAATAGGCCCTGTTTGGTTCGACTGTGAATTTCTAAAAGCAGTTGTGAAAAATCTGCTGTGGAAAAACAGCTGTGAAAAATCTGATGTGAAAAAGATGTAGGTCATTTGGCAAACCAGCTGATACAGTTTTTTCAGATTTTGACCCGCGGCGGAATCAGATTTTGGAAAGCACGTCTGAATTGCTTCCGCTTTTGATTCAGATTTTGGCAGCGAATTTTTAAAATCGGATTCTGCTGGGTTTGCCCTTTGGTTCAGATTGCGGAATCCATCGATAAAAAATAAACCAAACAGGGCCTAAGCCGGCTAGGCTCTCAGTTCGCCGAGAGCATCTTTTTTGTTTTTAGCATCTGTGTTAACGGAAAGAGATCCAACCGAAATCCGGCGCAGCGAGTCCGACGAAACCGAGACCTGCGGCCGGCTAGCACGGCGCGGACAGAGCACAAGCGCGTCGCGTCGCACCACCACAATGCCAATCGCGGCAGGTGCCGCCCGGACTACGCACAGCACAGCCACCACCCTGAACAAAAACTTAGCACTAAACTAAACTAACCTAAGCTAGCTGCCTCCCCCACGCAAAGAGGGCAAGATAAATACGCACTCCAAAGCGGCACACACACAAACACACACACGCCGCCCGAAACTCTAGCGCAAACAAAAGCACCACCACCACCGCCCGCCGCGGCAGCTCGCAGCGGCGGCTTGCCTGCTCAGCCGTGAGGCGCGCGCGCGCGCATTGCCGCGTACGGCCGCCGGCGGGCCAGCCACATACACACATCGCCGGGCGTCGCGTTGGCGGCCTAGCAAAGCCGCGAAACCCAAGAATCTGCCGCGCCGTCGGCAATGGCGGGTCGCCGCCTGGCCCTGCTGCTTGTCGCGCTGGCCGCGGCGTTCCTGGCAGGCGCGAGCGGCCGCCACGCGAGCGACTCGGCGCGGTTCCCCCTGCTCCGCCTCGCCGCGCCGGCGTCCCTCGCCGACCTGGCGCGCAGCGACCGGCAGCGGATGGCGTTCATCGCCTCGCACGGGCGGCGGCGCACGCGGGAGACCGCGGCGGGCTCGTCGGCCTCTTCAGCTGCCGCGGCCTTCGCGATGCCGCTCACCTCCGGCGCCTACACGGGCATCGGGCAGTACTTCGTGCGCTTCCGCGTGGGCACCCCGGCGCAGCCGTTCCTGCTGGTGGCCGACACCGGCAGCGACCTGACCTGGGTCAAGTGCCGCCGCCCCGCCTCGGCCAACTCCTCGCTCTCGCCGGCCGACTCGGGGCCGGGGTCGGGGCGCGCGTTCCGTCCCGAGGACTCGAGGACATGGGCGCCCATCTCGTGCACGTCGGACACCTGCACCAAGTCGCTCCCCTTCTCCCTCGCCACCTGCCCCACGCCCGGCAGCCCCTGCGCCTACGACTACCGGTCAGCATTCCCTCACTCGCCATCCGCATTCGCATTCGCATCGCTCTCCCCTCCACCGTACTAACCAGCCTTCACCCGAACGCCAGCCCGCGCTTTACCGCCGCCACCACTCGTACTCCTCCTATACTTAGCTGCGCGTAATCGCCGTCGATTGAATCGAATCGATCTGCGGGTGGGGCGTCGTTAATTGGCCGTGGCATTGATGAGGAGACGCGAGCAGCAGAGGCGGCAGAGGCAGCAGGAGGAGGCAGGAGACGCCATTAGTGGTTGGTTGGTGGGCGAGTCGGATCTCGCGCAGTTGCAATTTGCAAATGGCAATGGGGCCGCGGCGTCTAATCAATGCGGCGCCATTGATGCCCTCCCTGCTCCGGGCAGCTCCGGCCTGCCTCGCCTTACTGGTGCTGGTACCGGCAGTCCCACTTGTACTGCGAGACCGCAGCACTGCACGGCATTGATTGGCTCGGCCGTGTAGGTCGACGACGCCCCTTCTCGTATGTACTCC